ATGGTTACCAAAGCCTTATAGTTGCCATGGCAACCGTAGAAATGGGGTAAAAAATGAGAGCAAAAAAACACACAAACCCACCATATTGGCACTAATTTATAAAATATTTCTAGACATACAAATTTTCTTAAACTTTGATATCATCTAGGACACTTCTAGACAACGAAAATATCAAAAATTGGGGGTAGGTTTACCACTTCGATTTTTTTCTAGGCTTGGTCAAAGTAAAACTACGAAAAAGCACTCATTTTCACTTTTGAATCACCTATTATCGCCCAAATGGCTATATTTTTTCAAGGTCAAGGTCGCCATGTTAAAAGTAGAATTACGGAGATAAATCTGCTCTTCAGACAATGTTTGATGGCTTTTCTTCACCACGGAACAAAGATCTTTGCGCTGGTATGCCCATTTCAATGAGATGATATACGTGAAAGAGGAACTATGTCTTTAAATGTCATCAAAACTTTATGCCAACACGTGAAAAGGCCATTTCGCACTACTTTTGGCGTAATAATTCCATGTCATTGGTTGTTTTATTTGGCAGGTTTTGCGCCACGTCGTACATCTCGTCAACAACCATCAAATTTTCCGTCTGGGTTCAGATGCGTTCGCGGGCTGGGTTGAAGGTAGGGCCCATCTATAATGATGTCTGAGCGATGGACACCTTGCAGTAGAGATATCCGTCAGAGATTGTTGGTTTCAACTCAATAACATCATCACAATTGCGATTGTACTAGACGAATGACATCATATAGGTCAAATATAGGACACCATGGACACCTATAGAATGAAATTGGAAATGCTTCTGGACATTGATATTTACGGCTATCATGTTTAGTCAAAGTGTAAGTTGTCACTACGTATTTTTATCTATTTTAAACTTCATGCTATAACTGATATGTTATCACTTTGATTGTTTTCTAGAGGCATAATGATGATGAATTGAAAATGGAAACTAGGTAGAATTCTTTAAAAATGTTTGAGCTTACAAATGACGGCAGTTGGTATAAACAGTGTAATTAGGCAAATACCAGAAGCATTATAAAATTAAAAATATTAACATGATATTGAATTATCACTCTGGATTTGCATAGTCGAATATCAGTAAAACACTTCCTACTAAATGCTTGTACCTTGAAGCAAAAAAGATAAGTAAAACTGTATATCTGGTTAATGATCACATGACACAAACCATTTCCATACCCTTGGGAGATGGCTTCAGGTGTGGCGCAGAACGAAATGCTTTCTAAATGTCATTAAATGTCAACATAGTGGTATATAGTTCATTATACCACCCTAAGTGCTTTATATGATTGTATAATAGCATTGTATAACTGCAATATAAAACCAACACTCATCGTATACAACTCTTGAGAACGATATACAACTCCTGGATAGCGTATACAACTCTTCGACTTGATGTACAACTGGTGAATTTAGATTAACCTTTTATTGATTACATATTAGGGTGGGATAATAAGATCATATAATGGTTGATTCTGTATATCGTTTTATCCCATACTTGGACGTGTTACAGGTACATAAAGCCGGTTTGTAAAAACTTATATTTTCATCAGCGGGCAGATATAGCTTTACGTCCCGCTCCGAGCGGGCAGATATAGTATATCTCCCCGCTACGTCATAATCGCTGTTCCCATATTGGTTCGTTTTTGTAACGTTCGCATACTGTAGACGACAATGGAGAAAAATCGCGATCTGTTTGATGCTTTAAAGAAGGGAAGGAGCAGTATGCCCCGTTAATATCAAAAATCCGGCTTCGGATAAGAATACAAATCTGGACATGAATATTTTAAAATAATTCCACGGTTGGTTGCAAAGTTTCTGAACTGTGGCCAATTGGAAAATGTGATAGGTATGGGATAAACAGATCATCCTATAGTCGGTTCAGGATATTTTGATTATCCCTTGGCCAATATAATATATCTACCCTCGGGACCTACGGCCCTCGGGCAGATATATTATATTGGCCTCGGGATAATCCCAATATCCTGAACCTAATATAGGATAATCTCTATATACTCTCGTGAGTATATGATATATTCACTCGTTCCCTTCAGTCACTCGTGAATATATCATATACTAACTTGAGTATAAACACGATATACGGAATCAACCATTATATAACCTCATAGTATACCGAGCTCTCTAATTCCTCCTGGGCTCTGCCACCTTTCGGATACTCACGAAATCGTTCATGTTTAAGGGTCGTAGCCAGGGGGGGGGGGTTCGCAGGGTTCAGGAGACCCCCCCCCCCCCTCTTACCAAGAATTCTTTCAAAATCATGCTATTTTCACAATTTTGAGCACTTCTCAAGTGATTTTAGCCATATTTGGGCCAAAATTGTCAAATGTGAACCCCCCCTGAAAATTTTTGAAAACTGACCCCCCCCCCCCCCCCCCCTTAGCAAATCCTGGCTACGGGCCTGGTCTCCTCCCATTTGTCTGGATCCCTTTCCCTGGATCCCCTCTACATGTCCAAATATCCGAATTTTGTTGTCATGGCATCTCCCAAATCTGTCCTTCCTCCATTTATACTCATGTGCTCTCCCATTCCAAATCTGATATTCATATCATATCTCTGTATCTCACCAGAAATTAATTAATAGAAGATTATGATTTCTAATGATACCCATCCCCAAAGTCCTGGCCCTAAGTCTTAATTACCCATGTAACGAATTATATACTGACCATTCAGCAAATATGTACATGTGTAATAAAACAACATATTCAAATGATGCAATAATGACATATACAATAATTGCCGTTAGATTCTCGAACTAGGTTTATTGATTTAAGAGCGCTTCCCTTCTGTATTATAGAAACCAAAAATATACGCTATGTATGACATGGTAACTTATCTTTTATATACCATATTATAGTACTACAGCAAGTCGTAACAATCCAACCATTAATACACTTATTGCGTGCTATATAACTACAGGTGGCTTAAGATCATATAGTTTTATACGACCTTATACCTAATTTGGCAAATATTTCATGCTGGTAGTATAAATGTATCGAGTATGTCATGTACATAATATATTTTTGTTTTAGGCTGCATTGCTTGAGAGTGCGCGTCCCGTGCTTTACTGCTCTACGCATGCGCACTGTATTGCTCTTCGAATGGCACTGCTAGAATTCACGGTTGCCATAGTAACCCGTGGTTCTTAGAGTGCCATACTTGGTAGCAACTGTTGCTTCTGGTGGCCTGTTTTACGTGTGAACTTCAGTTGATGTGTATTTTAAAAGCAACATGTTTTGACTTTATTGTACATAGCATGTAGTGCATGTTACGAAAGATAGAGGCTTTTTACTTGTTTCTATGTAGTCATCTATGAAAAATGGGAACACTTTCCGCTAGATGAGAAATTGGCTCACTCTGTCGACTCAATTACCAAAGGCCTTAGAGACAAACCTGGCTTATTCTTTTGATGTTGTTTACTGTTTATGTGATGTATGTTGTAGTTACTTACAGGTAATCAGGCTCCGGGATCAGGCTCACATTTATGGGGGTATAGTTGCCTAGTTAGCCAGTTACACATCATTTTGGCCCACCCTGTACGTTTTCACTTAACTCTATTCAAATTTTCTAAAGTTACACCTAGTATGTTATTTTCTCTAGCTAAATAAAAGTATCCTGTTTCAAGAGCTTTTGGAGGTTCTCAAGAAAATTGGATTATCTACTATTAATTTCTAATTCATCCACTGGATGCAACAATGATGTTTTTAGAAATTTAAGGAAGTACATGCATTTATATTTCAATTTGAACTAGCAATTGACGTTTACAGGCAACAACCTTTTTTAAATGTTTGTGTAGACATGTGTTTATATAGTGAATTGATAATACGATGGGGTTGATATTTTGCTTATACAATATATAGTAGTTATTATTGAAGGTTCAATCGAATAGTTTCTTCTGGGTAACAAACCGAATTAATATCTGTATTTATTTTACACGATGAAGCTGTTGCAAGGAGTTCATATATAAACCACATGAGCTCGACGTTAATTGAACTGCTAGGTGACCAAATGCTATTCGACATATGATATGAACATGTCATGTAGATATCAGCAACCATGGGCACGTAATCTCCCCAGTTAATTACAAGAAAGGTACCATTGTTGAAGGCATGGCATCGTAAATACCTGCAGTCACCACTCGAATCGGGCTAGTTGACACTAGGCATTGGTGAATTTCATTGAACTCAGCGATATTGCCACTGCACATCATAAAATTCATAGGAGGATGATGACGGGCTATACCTTGCAGTGGTAGAATTCATAGTAGGATGATCATATGCTATATATACTTGGCACTGGTTAAATCCATAGGAAGATGTTCACAGGCTATACTTGGCACTGGTTAAATTCATAGGAAGATGTTCACAGGCTATACTTGGCACTGGTAGAATTCACTGAGTCATGTTATACTAGTCAGGGATTCACCAGGTCCATTTAGAGTTTGTGCGGCAAATCTACAGTCAGTCAGTCTACATAAGCAAGTTAGCCATGATTTCTCACCTCAAATAATATCAAAGTTTATTGAAATAAAGAGGCAGTTGAAATTCAACACGGCGTCAAGAACTACTTTGGAATAAGGGGTCACATATTATGGCTCGCCATCTGGACCGATGTATCGTCATACTTTTAACGTCGTTAAAATGATTTTGACGCCGTAAAAAACGATTTTGTACGGCGTAAAGCTATACTGGCATTCAAAATGATAGTAACACTGGTTTTGATTGGCTGCGAGCTAAGACGTAATTTACGTGTCAAATGCAATCCTTGACGCCGTTCTAAATCGTTTTTTGACGCCATTTAAAGTCATTTTTGATTCCGTTCAAATTCGTTTTTGACGTCATTTAAAGTCATTTTTGACTCCGTTCAAAATCATTCTTGACGGCGTTATACCTCATTTTTGACGATATTTTGACGCCGTTGAAATCGTTTTTGACGCCATTCAAAGTAGATTTTACAGCGTTAAAGGTAAATTTTACCCCGTTAAAAGTATATTTCATTGACTTTAACGAGATTTCAAAGCTATATGGAAACGTAACAGCAATGTACTGATATAACATTTTACTGGATTATTCAGCTAGTTTCAACATGAAATAATCAGTAAATAAAAATGATAACTATGATTTATTTGTTCTATGAGAGTAGGCATTTTGGCACAAACTGGTTATTGGTTATTCGATTTGGAAAACCTTGCTTAATGTTCCAGTCCATCGGATACAGCAAATGATCAAAGCAGAAATGTGGCATTTTTCTGAATCGAATTCTGTTTCATTTGTATTCATCATCTCATTAAAACCTGGCATTCAAACTTTTATTTTTATTGATATCTAAAAATTTTAAAGCGTCTGTCAGTGTTTTGCTTTTGTAGGCTCCCCAGTCCACTTTAACCTGGAGGCTTTCTTGCAACTCGTCGTCGGTGGGATACGGACATACCTGGAAGGAATATATAGAATGACACCTAATGACATATAATTCACAAATACGGGGTACCTGGTACACGGGTATAAACTATATGGAGACACCAATGTGACTAAATGCCCATGCATAGGACATATACAGGGTGTCAAAAAACAACGGCACCCCCCTCTACAGCAAAAGGTCCTTAATGTTCAATATCGTGTCATACCTCATTTGAAAGATAATTTAATTCTGAAGTTACTCATCAAATTTCATTTAATAAAACTTAATATTAAAAAAGCTACATTGTTTCAAAGTTTGCCACTTCGGTACTTTGTTTGCTGCTCTGTTATACTGATTAAAAGTCAAATCGTCAGAAAGAGAAATATGAAAGAATTACCCAAGATTTCAACTGGACTGGCCATATGGGTTCATTTTTGAAAAACAGGGTATAGGAACTGATCGACAAAGAGCCTCTAGAAAAAAGGCACAGTAAGGATGTATTTCTGAAGAATGTGAGGAAAATGCGAAGAGGATTATGCAATGCTACACCTTTATGTGAATTTTTATTGAAATCATATCCGTCCAGTTAAGCTGCTGTTTGAGCAGCAACTAGTGGGCATACCAACTACTAAGAATCAGCTATAAATCTGTAAAATTATATGATATAAAGCTGAAATTTTTCAGGTAACTCCAGAATTAAATTGTCTTTAAAATGAGATATGACACACCATGTAACATTAAGTACTTTTTGCTGTAGAGGGGGTGCCGTTGTTTTTTGACACCCTGTATTTAGATTTTTTTCTGTCCATATTACTTGAGTTGTGCGACAATAAAACTTAACAAGGCATTAACATGGCAAAATGTCACCACCATCAAGAAAATTTAATCAATTTGAAGCAAGTTGAAAATACATTTTGACCATTTTTAACCTAATACCTTTTAGACTTTTTTACCAGGTCATATCTAGTCAGATTTAAATTTCTGAGAACTTGTGGATGATTTTGAAAAAAATTAAGCAAACTTCAAGCGAAAAATACTTTCTTGACTTTTTTGACCTTGAGAAGGTTTTTAGTCAGATTTGAACTTCTGAGTACTCGTAGATAATTTTGAAAAACAATTAATCAATTTGAAGCAAGTTGAAAAAGATCTTTTTGTCCTTGAAGGTGAAATCATAAATTTAAATCAGCTTTGAACTTCTGAAAACCTATGGGTGATTTTGAAAAAAAATTGTATTCAGTCTAAACAGTATTTGTTAAGTGATTGGAAGTTGTAAGTTGTAAAAAGGCCGCCATTTTTCGTATAAGGTATAATCTTTGATAACTCAAATAATAGTTGACGGATTTGGTTCAAAGTTTATATGCTGATGCCTAGGGACAATTATAAAGGAGCTATGCTGTTGAAGAGATTTTCAAAATGGCTGCTAAATATCAAAATGGCGGCCATTTTAAAAAAAAACGTAATCTTTGATAAACCCGGTTTTGATCATTCATTTGCCATCTTGATAGCGATATAATAGCATTATATTTTAGTTGAACTGAAGCTCCAAACGTAATTAGTACGGGAGCGTTTCATATGGTCTATTGCTCACCGATTTCCTGAGTCTCGTACGCAGCTCTGCAGATGCACTTGCCATATAGAGCTGCTTGCTGATGAGGATACACTCTGCCCCGTTACTCACTACACAAAGGCTTGGTTGGCTAGGAAATATTAATTGGGGCAGTCCCTGGAAATAGAAGTTGGGTTAGGATGAACGATTTTCGAACAATTTGCTCAGATGATAACGGCAATAAACTACGAACCAACAGAACTTTCTAGAAAGATTTCAAATATGAATATTATGTAATTATAATCAACAGACTAGATATGCGAAGGAACTTTACACGGTTAAGGATATAAGTGCTCACAACCTTCAAATTGAACAAGGGTGATATACAAAACCAAAGAAGGCCCCACTTAAAGAAAGACTATAATGCTATTGATAATGAAGAACATTTCATGATGAAGTGTAAAAAATAAAACTAGAGAATTTATTGCCCGAAATAAAACTGGAGAATTTATTTATATACATATTATTTTTATGTTTTTAAGTATACTTTCTTGGACCTTGTTTCTTGTGTGAATGTAATCAATGAATAGTGTTCTATTCTTCTGTATTTGTGGCTTGGAAGTCATTTTGTTCGAGTGTGCATACATAGTACATGGTGTCATTCAAAATTGAAACCAAATCAAAACCTTTGCAACAACATTGAGCAATGTTTTAACTTGAAAGGTCATTAATTAAAAAGAATTTTGATATTTTTGAAGAAAATGTTGGGATTTACACGACGCTCTCAAGGATCAGAAAAAATTAACACACGTGTTGCGTGAGAAATTAAAAGAGAGTGTGAGTAGATTATGAGAGAGGTGTACTCACAAATGTCTCTCCTTTGCTTATTGTTTGTATCTGTACGAACTCTGGGTCCAAGTCTGCTTCGGTCAGTTCGTGCTCCTAGAACCATCAATTGAAAGATCACTTGAAGAAAACAGCCTTACAGCCTTGTACATTAACGTTCTTTCTAATTGTATAGTTTTTATTTCTACCATATTGAAGAGAAAAAAACGTTTAACCTTGATAATACACAGAGTGACCCAAACATCAGCTCCCAATTCTCTTATAATTCTTAATTATGGTGGAATCATCTTGTCTTCTTTTGTGTAGATAGTGTGTTTAATGAAACTGGTCGTTCTAAATTTATACTGCAACTATACGACTTGCAGATTCAGAGAAATCACATTTCCATTTTAGTGTGCTCTCTCGTGTTGTATCGTCCAAACGACGTTTCATATGCAATTACTGATGTTGGGAATTGGAATATCGGTCTTTGCCATTATTTGAGTCATTCTAGATTATTTTCAAATACATTATTACACATAATTTCAAATACATTATTACACATAATTTCAAATACATTATTACACATCATTTCAAATACATTATTACACATAATTTCAAATATTGATGTATTTCTTACAATGGACAAGTGAAAAAATGATTTATTAAAAATCTGTAGATGTAGTTATATTTGGTAGTCTGTGACCGTTTTACCATGCTTCCTTACCTGACAATACGCTCAAACTATTCCTAGTACATCGGAGAAACATTCGTAATGAAATTCAGATGGCATTCGACCTGCATCTTCGACCTTCAGCTTTCGACTTATTGGGTGTTCTGTTTTGGTTTAGATCACAAGCCAATGAGGTGTGTATTAATGATCAACTTTCCTGTTATCTCAAAATCTGCTTGGAACTGTACCATTGTATTACTATGGGAAATTCATCAAAGAGAAAATTCTTGGGATTAAGGAAGGGGTACCATTTACACAATTTGAGAAATTATTGGCAAACATGAAACCTATTTAAAACAGTATTAATATTATTCAAAAGCGACCTTAATAATGATTCCCAGCCCTCTGAAGTTTGAAAAATAACAATACCAGGGGGTTAAACCATAGATAATCCTTGAAAATGAGAAATATATTTTCGGATTATATGGTGCAATCTTATATAGTGAATAAAATGTTTTAAAGTGTATTGATGTTTTTTTATGGAAAACACAAGCGAAGTGCGTAAAAAAGCTCCCCAGAGTCATTCTACAAACAACTCGTGGTCTTTTGATTTGTTTATATTATTAAAATGCATGCACCATCTATTACTGAAATAAGAACATATAATTTATGATGGGTATCACATACGTTTATAAACACAAGGGAATAGTTTTGTTTAGTGTACAAACAAAAGGTATTTATCCAACAGAAATGTTATGACAGTATATCAATTGGGCACAACTATTTACATTTGATGTACAGTAGAAACTAAAACCGAACCGACCGCAGAAAGGCAATTTGAATGAAAGACCTCGATTTATGCGCATGCGCAAAAATTCGAATAAAAATGGAACCTCGCGCAGTATACCCCTCGTGCTCTTCGAGATCGGCAAAAATAGCTCCTATTAACTGTTCTTTTTGGACTGCCAATAGGTCGAATGTTGAAGATCGAAGGTGCAGGTCGAATGTCGCATCCAAATACGCAACTGCGTATTTAGATTTGAACACAGGATAACGATGTTTCAAATCGTCTGATTCCGGGTGTTTTGTTAAGGTGGCCTAAAGTGCTGCTTATTTTTTCGTAAAGCCACTCAGTAAAATTACGATTTCTCTGCACCCTGATGTCCAATCAACATCATTCGAGTATCTATGTTTTCCTGACACGTGTGGGCATCCGTCTAACCAATATGTGAACGCGAGATTGACGTAATTCATGACTGAAATCGGAAGACAAAAATATGTGATATTCGTTCAGAATTGTTTATAATAACTATTTACAAAAATGTTCCCGAGAAACAAATCCATTTAGGTAAGGTTTGTTTTAAAGATTCTCGCAATCTTTATCCAATCAGCGTTTGCGAGTGTGTCGGCTCACGTATAAAAGGCGAATCCAACTCAAATCCATGCAGGGGTGTATGAGGTACTCGAATAGGAAAGAGCTCGTGAAATCTGAATTTATATGCACATGGTCAATGTTTACACATGTTTGGAGTTATTGAAGAAAATGTGATATGGGTGTGGTTCCGAATTTGAAGTCATTGCTGGAAAATATGATTTTAATACGTGAAATTATATCTATAAATACAGCACTAAAAATAACAGTACACATGAAGTACATGTATGATTGTGTCCAGAAATGTTTGAAACCCTTACAGAAAATTCTGTCTGCATTTTGTCACCATTGCTCTTTCTTCCCGCATTCTAGTGCTGTTTGAATGAATATATTAATTAATGTATTTCTAACTAAAATATATCACTTTTTTTATAAACCACAAACATTTAGATCATAAAAAAAATATTCAATACTTGAGTGAGCACGATATGCAAGGGTTACTAAGTTGACACAGTAAATGACCACTGATATTGTGTTAGCAAATATGTATTAGCAGAATACGCTGTGTGCATGGACTAACACCCCTCACTTTCATAGTGAAGTGACTAATTGGTTTATGTTTACGTTTTAATGTGTTTTGGGTTCCTTGTTACAGCAAGGGGGACCAGTAAAGTAGACTAACATGTTTGCATGGCAAATTTTGATCGAATATGTGAGACACTTTAAAGTCGAAAAGCCCCAATAAGACACTACGACCCAGATAAAACCCGGAAGACATAGATTTCATGTAATGATTTACGTTCATGTAAACAATTAAAGTACATATAATCCCCATATAAAACACTGGCCTACGTGACAAGTAATAACATGTTTAAACTGAAATATAGAAAATTTTCAACATAGCATTTGCTTCTGTGTTCTGTATGCCACTCTACCTGCTTAATAAGGCAATGTATCTTCAAATAAAACCTTAGCCAAGTAGATTAGAGTCTCTGGAACACTTTTGTAAATAGTTTCCACAAGCAATTTTGTTTGTGAATCTCAAATTTTGTCTTCCCGATTTCAGTCAAGAATTACGTCAATTTCGCGTGCAATCTTTGGGTAGACTTTGTTATTTCCGGACGCCCAAACGTGGCAGGAACACATTGATACTTGAATGATGTTGATGATGAGGTTGTAGAGAAATCATAATTTTACTGAGAGGCTTCACGAAAAAATAAAAAGGCTATACGCCTCGTTAAACAGTGCTGCATTGCGATACCCTCACATCATACCATAACTTTATCACCGTTAGGAAATATGGTCAGAGGATACAACGACAAATGTTCCGAGGGGTTCAAGAGACAAATGTCCATGGTCTACTGAGATAAATGTTGGGGTGATACTGTGCAGGCATTCATGTGTTTGTACATAACTATTTACTGAAATATAATATAACAACATCTGATCGAAAAATGATTGATGGTTGTAACGAGCAAGATATTGGTGGAAGAACGGGGAGGGGATCACTAATAAGGAATAAGGTAACATATACATTAAAACACAAACAGACATCATACTACGTATATCTAGTGCAAGACATCACTTGGCCTACATTATAGATAGGTAGTATAAACGTTTTTGTAACCTGGTCGAGGTGGTCTCCTTGCTCTCGTATAATACTGCAAGAGGTCTAGCATGCCATAAAAGAAATACATTTCAATGGTTGAATAACTGCTATTAGTGCATTTCCCTCGAAAGGTTTTGTAACCAGAACTTACCCCTTTACATTACGTGTTAAAGCCTCTTTACATTTTAAGATGTTTGACAAAGTCATCTATTTTTTCCCATCTTGTGTAATTAAGAGCCAAAAACAAAGATTAATGCGAGCTAAAGCGCTTTATCATACTGTTCAACGGGACTTCCAGTTGTCAACCTTAAAGATGTTATGTACATCAATATAATTTCATATCATGTAACTTTAGAATTGACTAATGTCTCAGTGACTGTTACAAATGCTCTGTTTATGTAGGAAGAAATCTAATGTAACAGACCAATGTCAAATTCTCCACTACTTTATAAACGTTTACATAATATTAACTTATTTAACACCCCAGTCACATTTCCTACGGCGACCGTACGGTCTATCATTTCTGCGGTCAGTAACATTTCTACGCTCGTCGTAGAATTTCTGCGGTCGGATAATTTTGCAGTCACATTTCCTATGGCAGCCGAATGGCGAATTTTAAGATTATATTGATAAACGATAATGTTTATTTTCATTTTATTTACATCAGTACAATATATAAATGTTATTGATAGTGGTAGGGTATAATTAAGAAATAAAGACCTCAGAGTAGGTGTTATATCGAAGAATACACCTAGCCCTAAGGGGTGTATTCGTCGATATTACTGGATACGCCGTACGGAGACCGCAAGGCGACCGTAGTTTTCCTACGCTCACCACATAAATTCACTGATTTAATTGATCTGCGGTCGGCGTACGACCGTCGTACGACAAACGTGACTGGGGTATTAAGATTCAAAACACTCATTATGACACCCAATGAGTTATTATTTTAGACGTATTGTATATCATATTTCACATTTAGTAGAGTGTAGGATCACTACCTTGACCTGATGGGATTGTTTTAGCGAATGTTTGAAAGTACCTTATCAATGTCAAACAATACTATAAGGAAATAAATGATGCAAACAGTCAATTCAATCATCGATGATTAGACAAGGAGTTGCCCATGAGAACTCCATACAAATTTGGAGTGTCACAATCATGTTATGAAGAAGATGTATACCTTCCCAAATCTGCTGTCATCCAGTTGACTTGCAAGTGTTTTCACCTCCTGCTGGGCGCCACCCATTTCAAATTGTTCTTCTTGCCTCTTGCGCTGACGTTCCTCCTCATCTAAAATGTCCATTGATGGTGTATACAAAATACAGGGTGTACAGGAATAAGACATTTAATCATGGTTTGTCATTGTTTGTGTTTTTACTAATGTTGCTCGATCCCTAACTTTAGTCCTAAAATACTCATAATCGTTAAAATTATTTATACTTTAAAAGACAAGGGTGAGTTTTTGTACATTTACAAAGAAATAGTGCTTGCAGGCTACTAACGTCCTTTTTGATGAATTGATAGGCTATTCTGATTTTTTTGGGGGGGGAGGAATTATGAAAAATATTTAGTATTGGAATTATCAAAACGTTATAATTTTTCTCACCTCATCTTGTAGTTTGATTTGACATTAACCACGTTGTATTTTGAGGTAAATCTGTTTTCAATTTGTTTAATTTGAGTTAGAATATTAATAGAGAGGTTTCGCACAATACGGTTTAGCTAAAACGTGTCCGCAACCGGATCTCGTTTTACTTGAACTGGTTGCGCATTTTAGATACGTCGACCTAAAAACGTTGAGCGAAATCTCTCTATTATTTACAGTTTGACACGTATCCCCTAAAGGTACCTCTTTACATGGGGATTAGTGAGAAACTATATGGGCGGCATTTTTAAATTCAAATGCGAATTGCGAATACCTGGATCTGTTTTATCACTGTCTTTTTCCGCGTTGGCACGCTTTTTATTTTTAGTATTCTTTGTATCTACATGTGAACCAGAGGCTTTTGAAATTTTTCTAATTTTCCTATCAGGCTCGCTATTTTCATTTTTATTGCTTTCGGTTGTAATAGTATTCGCCAACTCCACTGCATCAACGGCGTCAATGCTGTCATCCGGGTTCTTGATCCGCTCAATTTTTTTCAGCGGGATTGATATTTCTGGAAGAATTTGTCGGCGTTGTGTGTCCCGTAGATCCCTTTGCTTCTTTTCCTTCAGTTCATGCACTGGTGTAGGGGTTCTTGGATGTCCACCGACCACTGGAGAAAGACAACGTATGGTTGTATAGGCTCGTTTCCTGCTAAGCCTACATCATTGTTAATGTCATTGTTTAAATCAATTTAAAGTCTTAAATTTAGCCATGGAAAGCCTCTGTATCAAAAATGCAATACGTATATAAGCATTAATTCGAGGTGATAAAGTCAAAATAATGATGCTAAGCTGAAACGAAATGACAATATGAACACATAACGCCCATAAAGGCCTACTTACATTGCTTTTTCCATTCATATGGCTCCACTCTTTTTAACTTCTTCAAGACGTCAATGCTGCCCTGAAATAACAAGAGGAATACAATGACGATGAGTGAATTAACATAAACTCCACATGACAAAATGTTGTACCTGCTCAGAGTAAGAGTACATAAGGGTTATGTACTTACTATATAATTGTTCTATTAAACATGTATCTTGTTAAATTATCTTTAAAATGATATATCATTGTTGGTGTGTTTGTTAAAAAATCAATATTTATCAGGAATATTGGCTAGGGGTGGGTTTTTTGGCCCACCCTGTATATATTAATTAATCAATATTATGTCTCCAATTACCACCGCAAAAATTGAAGTTCGACATGGGAGGAAAAGGCAAACTTTCATATTACTGTGTGACACTTTTCAATGAGTTAGTTCTTTGAGAAATCACCGAAGATTTCGTTATGTCATTGAACTTTAAACTTACGGACTTGACGAGGATTATCCAATCAGAGTGGGTGCTGTCTTTCACCAAGATGTCGCCATTTCTGAAGAATCCAAATATCACCTTCTTTTTCTCTCCAGATTGATCAGCCAATTTCTCAAGAGGCCAACCTTTCAAAAATTCGAGATTTCTGAAAACAAATCAAATGTTATGACGTGTCGCAAAAAGGTGGCGCATTTGTTTTTTAAGGGTATCGCGTGAATGTAACTTTTATTCCCCGGATTATAAGATAATATTCTAATTAAAGTTATATATCATTTTAAAGCTGTTTCGATGAAGTTTTTAGATCAACTACAATCCGTTCACGATTCTTGCGCGTTCTTTTTTAAAAAAGAGTTTTTGACCAAAACATCTGGCAAATATCCCCTGTTGACACGTTACATTTTGAATTATTTTTCGTCTTTAAACGCTCATAACTCAAACAATATATGACTATTATACTTATCTTTCGTCTTTATAAAGGTAGATGGAAGTTTTATTTCAAAGGATGAATTTTAGTAAGCGTCCCATATTGTGACGTCATAGAGTTTGAAAAATAGAATCTGTTGGTCCAGCGACCTTTTTTGCTCATTTTTTGTTACCTTCAACTTTTCAGGTGTACATTTAACAAAAACTACGACATCAACTTTTAATAAATCATACATGATTATTTTGCTCTTAAACTCTAGTTTATTAATAAATAGTTGATTTTGTTCGCAAAAGTATGTGCTTTCTGTTGTATGTGGAAAAGTGGAGGACGAAAGGTTTTCAAAATTCATTAAAATAGGGCTAATTTACGCCATTCGCCTATTTTCAAGCACAGCAACAAGTATATTTATTTCACCTAAAATATCAATTGATTCGTATTTTATGATGCTCCTATCCCATTGTTAATACATATACGATATCAGAGTTAGTCGCCTTAAATATTTTGAGATATAGAGGCACATGTGGAGGACGAAAGGATTTCCATATTTGTACATTTTTCACTAGTAACCCATCCCGATGTGTTTCTCTCACAAACATACCCTATATAGTCTTCATGACACGGGTCTGAGAGATTCGTCACTCCTCCAGCCATGAAGATCTCTTGAAAGTCTTCCATGGAGATGCTGAACAATTCTATAGATTCTTTAGATATCACAGTAGAAAATCTTGTGGTGTTGTTTAGAATGGCAAGTTCCTTTAAAAGCAGAAGCAAATATTATAATATATTGTTCTTCCTCCGGATATTGTATCTTCTCTGGAACGATAACATTTGTTGATGCGTATACTTCCTTCATAGTCTCACTTGCATAAATAAAGTTTAAAATTATATCAAATAAACAATCATTCATCCTAGGTTTATAATAATAGCTACATAAATATACTTTAGGTTTGAACTGTTTTTTATTTGAATATACTTGGATATTTAAATCATTAAAGAACATGCAGAACTAAGTACTAAATGGACGAAGACTCACTCCAAAAGCGTCTCCCTTATGTAAGTAAGCCACGGGGCGTGCAGTTTTGTTCTGGCGATTCATGATCATGACCACCACAGAACCACTGAGGACGAAGTAGAAGAAGGCTGGCCTATGCCCCTGTCGTACTATCAGACGCTTAGATTCATATCTGCTCATGAAAAGTAAAACGTTTGTCAATAAGGAGTTTAGCGTAAAAATATAAGTATACCTCCGTATTACTATCCCTATCCCTATGTTTCTTACGGATACGTATCTCTTTGTAAACCTAAAGATTATCTAAACGTATGCAAACTTTTATGATAAAAATGACATCCTAATTATAAGATAAATGTTAGCCTTTGATGAAATATTCAAACTTCGATATATTTTGACACTAGGTCCATGATCGTTGGATACGTCTCTGCACTAATGTCAACCTTTAATGAATGATATTTGATTTGATTTAATAGCAATAGTTAAGTAGGCTTATATGTAGAGGTTATTTACTGGGAGGGATGGAGGAGGGCCAGAGGGAAATATCATGTTGTCACGAAGAATAAACCCATATTCAATTCAGACCAGAAAATAAGCGTTTTATCCCATGATATTCATAAGTCTCTTCATGCAATCATAAGTTCAAAATCCATATCTGAAAGTTGTATGAAACAAAACCAGACTTTATCATTAGTCTACAAAATATGACTCTATGACATTTTGAAATACAAAAACTCAATTGTATAACATAAACACATCAACACCAAAAAATTCAACAATACAATATACATGTTAATTACATGGACAAAAAAATCGCTCATTGCTCATATTTCTATGACTTTAACTGCGTCTGTGTCAGAGCAAAATTATGAAAATATAATTTGCCTGCGTTTAATAGGCTTAAACATGGCTTCATATCTCTTTCGTTTCTAATCTCTTAATTTTGTTCTTTGCAAAATATCATTTTTCACATAAGAACATCATTATGGCACACTAAATCGACTCAACTGAATGAAATAGGAGGCTTTTTGGTCGAACTTATTGGGAGGTTAGTTAATACGATTTTCGTGAGCGGTATTGGGAGGTGAATACGATTTTCGTGAGTAGGATTGGTCGCATCCTCCGATCACAGGGCTTCAAAATCCAGAATATCTTCTTTCTTTTTACCCCCTGCTATAACCAAGTTGGACGCGCCCGATTAAACTGAATCACGTGATCTAATTATGCACCGATGACGTATACATGATTGCTGTCGCAGTGTTGCGACAGCCAATCAAATTGCGAGTTCTTAATCGGGGAAATGCTAACTGCTTATAGCAGGGGGAAAGAAGGACGTACGGATTCTGGACACCTGCTTAGGAGGATGGATTAGTCGGGACAATAGGACTTTCTTTCAAAAATATTCCCGGGTGTTATTCAACGGTAAGCAGTAGTATCATGGGATAAAAAGTATAGTTATTCACCGGGAGGGATTTGATATGGGGAATATCACAAGGATAATATCAATATTTCCCAAGGGAACACAGTGGCCGAGGGAAATATCGATATCATCCAAGGGATATTACCCATATCATCCCGACAGGTGACGGCCGTTACCTTCGCTTGATACTGACCAGTGACATACTGTAGGTAAACTGAACTTTTAAAGATGGACAGGGCGAACTCCATAGCATGGGATTTCCAATTGGATAATCTTAATTTCCATGTAACTTTCGTTTTAATTTTACAATCTTTATGATCTTATTGGAAGTGATTGATACCTTACAGTGCAATCTCAAGGAGGATTGGCTCCCAGAATCGAAGTCGATATTTTCCAACAATGAAAACGCCGAAATGTCGTTATTTTCTGAAATTATAACCGATTATAAATTCAAAATAAACAGTTCAAAATATTCGAACCAATATCTCGATCATTTCTTGTGAGTTTTGGAATTTTTCGTTGGGAAATAAGACCAAAATTCACGATTCAAATGTTGAAGTGAACAAAATGGCGGTCGTTGGAATTCAAATTTTGTAGCACGACATACCCATATATGGGGCAGAATATCGATGTTGCACTCTGGGAGCCAATCCTCCTTGGTGCAATCTTATATTGCAAAAAATGGAAAATCATGGTCATCTTTTTCACTAATAAGTCGGATTTATTTCAAATATCAACGCATTACGCCAACTATAAAGTAATCTTACTAAAAATATCGATATCAACACTTCCTGTCCGCCATTTTTGATGCGAATGTGACGGCCGTTACCTTCGCTTGATACTGACCAGTGTATGTGCCATCTTTGAGAGAATCGATCCATTAATGAAGGAGCGTGTAAAATCCAACGGAAATAAGGCCATGTTCCTTATCCATGGTTTTACTTTTCAATATACTTCACAAAAGTATTTACATGCATGGTATGCTACGTTGACATAATCATTGACATTGTTATATTGCTGATGATTGTAAATTATATGTATTTTAGCCTCTACATAGTTTCATCTTATTGTGTATAGTTCTAATTTACATGTATATTCTTGAGCCTCATACTAAAGTTTTGTTTTTGGCAAAGAGAGAATGGATCCTCACGTACTTCTGTCTGTAACTTGATTCAGATTGACCAATTTTCATTCATGGCACCCTACTATGCCAAGAAAGATAAACTTAAGTAAGAAGACAATGTTTGTTATGGTAGATCTACATAATAATGGTAATCTACATAAAGTGCAAGAACATTGAATCACAACCCAAATTGAGGACTCACATAACTTTTAAACATGACTGCCCAATAGAACAATATTTACTTACATCATCATTGACAAGGGGTGAACGCTCTTTAATAGCTCAGTTAAGAACTGGTATACTTCCTTTAGCAATAGAAACGGGGAGATTTACTCAACCGAAAACTCTAGTAAACCAAAGACAGTGCCAAATTTGTAACTCAAATGAAATTGAAAATGAAAGCCATTTTGTATTTGAGTGTTCATATTATTCAGAAGCTAGAAAGTCTTTTCTTCAAGAAATCAAAAACAATTCCTTTAAAGATATCTTTGAAAATAAAAAATATATTAAATGCTTTGGAAAGTATTTGCAAAAAATATTCTATACAAGGAAAAAAGTTTTATTTAAAAATCAAAATCAATAATAATGTTGAACTGAACTGCACTAATTTTATTATATATTTGTATTGTTATAAATGTAACTTATGTAAAATGTGTCTCATAAGCCCAGGTAGGGCTGGCTATCTTAGATAGGTGACACTTAAATAAATGAATGAATAAATAAATAAATAAATGACTTAAATAGTGGAATGCGTTGTGTAGTGTAAATATGGCTATTTTCTGATCATGATTTTAAAAGCATAAACCCTTACTTTTCGTATGTTCCAGTTTCTATGATACGTCTCTGCATATGGACAGGGTAATCACCAAATGCCCTTAGATTTCTCATTGAGAGCATTGTCTGAAATAGACAACCATGCATAACGAGGGTCCTTCAATAAATACTAATACAAACTAATGCTTTCCATTATTATGGAGAAATCAAGTTGAAAATTTCAAATATTGTGAATTCAAGTTAAAAAAAATAAACGTATTGATTTAATTCGATTGATAAACATGAAAATGAGAGCATTTATTGATATTAAATATTGAGCTTGACTTGATTTTGACATTCGTCCGAAACCCCAATTGTCCGAATCCCATTCGTCCGAATCCCAATCATCCGGATCTCATTCGTCCGAATCCCAATCCGAATCCCATTCGTCCGAATCCAAATCGTCCGAATCCTATTGGTCCGAATCCCATTCGTCCAAAAACTAATGATACGAAAATTAAAGACTACATAAGTACGCATAGTGCTCAACGTATCTAATAAACCTGCATTCAATTCTGTTGATCAAATCTCAGGCGGCAAATGACGTTTTCCCTTTATCCTATGCCCGGTAGACTTTTAGGGAGATAAGATATATCCCGTCTCCTGATTTTGAGGTTTCCATATCCAGAATATCCATATCTCCCACTCCAGGGCATATCTTCTCGCTTTGAAAATAGATTGAAAAAAATGTTGAAAAACAATCTGAAAAAAATTTGAAAAATTTGACAAAAATAACAAATTAAATTAAATTGTTTTTGGAAAACTCTACTGGGTATAGGATAAAGCAGTTATGCACGGTCTGTCCTTCAGGTACGCTGCGGTCCTTTAAGTAGATATGCATATCTCCCTCTGGATAAACCCTATATCCAAAACTTCCCAGTACATAACCCTTATTTATGTACAGATACGTGCAAGGTTAAGGCAAACACGAAAATGGGGTTTTTGTACGTTGGGAAATAACGCATCTATAATTTTAACATTCAAAATAATTTATTGATTTTCTGTTGAATTCAAATAATTGCGTGTTCTAGCATTTGCTACCACGTGTCCGCAATTAAGAATAAGAATATGATGAATATGTCCAGCCTCAAAAAATACAACGAGACACCAATATTGCTTTACGTACTCCAATAATCTCCAACAATATTTTGAATCCTTTTTTCGGAAATGATAAATTGAGAAGTGACACGTTTTGGGAACAATTTGGGAAATGAGATTATGTCGATTTTGAATTTTGGAAGTTGAATCGTTTACTTGAATCGGTTACTGATACTTTTTAATATACTACACCCTGTACAATTCGATAACCAGATCATAGTATGGACATGGCTTCATGGATAGTTATTCTACTGGGCAATGCTCAAGTCAGGAAATACAGAAACCATTTGTTCATACGACATATTTAAATTAAAAAGCGTCACATCCTTTAATCAAGACGTTCATAAATCATCTCCATATTTTTTTACTAATAAAAGTGGCGGGATTTATATGTTTTTGCGTTTTATTCAAATAAGGAATAAATAAGGTCAAAGGGTATTTCATTTTCAAACTCGTATAAAAGATATTTCAAGAACTCCCTTAGCAAAACCACATCCATGCAAAGTCCATGCGACGTTTCCACGCAATACCCACGCAACACCCATGCAGCAAATCTTAAACTAATTCAAAAAAACATGCAACATCCATTCAAATCCATGCAAAGTCCACTCACCATCCATTCAAATCCATGCAAAGTCCAATCACCATTCCATTCAAATCCATGCAAAGTCCATTCACCATCCATTCAAATTCATGCAAAGCACGTTAATCCACATGCCAAGTCCATGTAAGTTGCGAGAAATATTCCATGCAATGTCAATGCAAAATTGCATGCATCTGCATGGGTTTATATCAAAACCATGCAATCCACATGCAATTTTGCATGGACTTGTATGGTCCATGCAACATCCATTCAAATCCATGCAAAGTCCATGCAGCATCCATTCAAATCCATGCAAAGCACGTAATATTTTGCATGGATTTACATGGCCAAATTTGTTTATCATTTTGGACACATGGCCAAGGGAATCCCGTAAATGACAGTTCTGGAAACTCAAAAACGACTCTGAATGTGATTGGCTTAGGTGTCCCTTAGGGAATCCCTTCAATTGCTGCAAACGATTTTTCTTTTTTCCTTATTTCAGGCGTTGTAGGCAGAATTTTTTTTATTCATTTTAATTCTTATTGTGGCTCGGTCTTAACAAGACATTATGAGCCAATTTTACAGTTTATATAAAATACGTACATTTTCTTAAACATATAATACTGATACATGTTTGTGATAAAAATGTCGTAGGAATTTTGCCTACAACGTGTGAAATAAGGAAAAAATTAATTTTCTTTTTACTGAAACCATATTACAGTTCAGCAGCCCCGCCCCCACGACTGATGCCCATGATAATTCGGGTCATAAATCATTTCACAACTACCGCGCTGATCTATATTCTCAACCAATCATCGAGCTTGAAGGAACAAGTGCTTAATGCGTGCACAATAATTATGCGATTACGTCAGAGAAAATGACCGTACATGTACATAGAAAGTCGTCCGTATTTCGACGACGAACTCTGATTCGCTCGGTGAGTTCAGAGATTTATTGCAAACTGAAAGAGTGAAGATGAACTATCTTTTCAGAAGCGAAGTCGAACGAATGCAAAGGGTAGGACGTGATGTTTTTCTCCACGTTCAGACATATCTTGCATTTTTATCTTGACAAAAAATTAAGCATTAATAGGCGGGATTCGGAATAATGGGATTCGGACCATTTGGATTCGAGCAAATGGGATTCGGACCATTGGGATTCGGACAAATGGGATTTGGACCATTTGGATTCGGATAAATGGGATTCGGACCATTTGGATTCGGACAAATGGAATTCGGACCATTGGGATGTGGACGAATGGGATTCGGACCATTTGGATACGGACAAATGGGATTCGGACCATTGGGATTCAGACCTTTGGGATTCGTTACAAATGGGATTTGGACGATTGGGATTCGGACCGATGAGGTGACTCCACTTAGATATTTTGACATCAATAACTTCCCAATGAGACAACTCGTGAGATGACTAACAACATAACAGCTTAACTTTTTCAGTTTCCAGCTATCACATTCTAAATGTAAGAAAATTGTTTTCTCCTTATGATTTCAAAATAATTTAATGATCTGGGGGCATACATAGTGGATTTCTTTTGCAGTCCTCACGTGTGGCGGCTTAATCAGCACTCGCTTGGTTTCTTCTGGTATCCTCACCTAGCAATCAAGAAGGTAAAATATTTTAAGATAGGCGCATTTGAATTACTCATATTCCCGAACTTAGGATTTCCTATAAGTACTATTTTCGCATTTATCATGATTGCAACGATGAATTTAGGAATATAATTACACATTGCTGAAACACTTCAATACTTTTGGCACCTCGTGTACTTACGGATCTATTGGCCTTGAACTTTCGTGGGTCAAACATGAGGTTATTACCTTCTCCCTCGGCAATGTCCGTATCATAAAACTGCATCTCCCGTATAAAAGGAGTCACTTCGTCATCCTCCTTGTTCCTGCAAGGGAATTCACGAGGAAGGAAATGCGCAAGGACGAAAATGCGTGAGGTAAAATTCAAAGGATTGGTATCGATATGGTGAACTGAATTCAACAAAGTTTTTCTCTTAAACCAATTATTGAAAAAATTCTGTAAAAAACACGGTCCTTTATGTAATGTTGACTGATTGACGACAATTTAATGCAAAAATTATTTATACATATTTTACATAACAGTTTTTGTTTGTTTTTGTTTTTCAGTGCAATTATTTTTTGTTCCTTTCTACCAATTCTTGAGATTCTTTCTGAAGCTAGTTGGAACAAAATAGCATATACAACATTTTCTTAGACCTCTGAATATTATAGTTAAACAAAGGAAAGTTTGGTTGATTTAACAAAAAGTATTCAAGAAATTAAAACAAACAAAAAACATATAAAAATTAAGATACTTTTTTAAATCAACCAAACTTTCCTTTGTACAATTACAATATTGAGAGACCTATACACGTTGTGTATTTTGTTCCCACGAGGTTCGGACATTTGTTTCATTTCATTCCGAACATATGATACCAAGAACTAAAGAAGTGTCTGATGTGTTTTTTAAAACAATATAGAGAAAAAAAATTCATATTATATTGCTATCATTCAAAAGATGACCATTAAATTGACGATGTGTAAAATTTTCAGAATCTTTTGATGACTGGTTTAATAGAAGCGTGTGTTAAAAAAGTTCACCATATCGATATCAACCCTTTACAAGTACTGTAGAATAGGGTGTCAGAGTTTCGTCATCCATTTCTTTAACTCCTTCCCATGATGAGGTGGGTCTAATTTCAGTAGTGTTTGATTAACAGTCCTAGCATAAAAACGCAACATTTTCAAGTAGAACCGATATATTATAACTGTTTGCGTGTCTATATTTTCAACTTTTTGTGATCACTCTGATTTGATAGTATATCGTTTAATGCGCGTTCGCTCAAAATAGAAGCACTTGTGAAGCTATAAATGAACATAAGGCAATGAGGCAACTGTTGGGGATAGGCGTGAGACTGGTTAGAAAGTACTTACTTCAATGAGTATGCTTCTATCATACGTCTACAGTGGATAACAGTCCGAGCTGCCACACGAAACTTACTAAATAAGGCTTTCTGAAATGATAAGGGAAGTTAGACCTACGCCAATATCCAATCAAAATATCTAGATTTACTATTATATCTACAAATGATCGAATCGAAATGAGCTATCTACAGTAACAGTTTCCACACAGGGGAGTGTAAATTAAACAGTTTGTTTACACATACATACGACTATAACAATATAATCCATAATGAATAGAAAACAAGGGTCACCACTGTAAACAAGATATCGAGTGACTTGTTAATTATATTCTGTGATTTCACCAAAACTCCAGGAAAAACATCAAAAATAAATGAAAAAATTGCAATACTAATTAAACCCAGTGCAACAAATGCATATAAATGAGTTAAATCTAAAATCTAGAAAAATGTAAGTCGTGGAAAACATGTTGAATCACTATTTGTACCCCCTGCTCTTATTTTATAGAGGTGATGGTGATTCTTGACATCTTAGACTCTAGAAGATGTACCAACTTAAACTCTGTATGCTGTATGAATCTAAGAATATGGATGCTGTACCCATTGTAGACTCTTGAGGCTGTACTCATTAAAGAGAAGAGGTGATGGTGATTCTTGACATCTTAGACTCTAGAAGATGTACCAACTTAGACTCTGTAGGCTGTATGAATCTAAGATTATGGATGATGTACCCATTGTAGACTCTTGAGGCTGTACCCATTAAACACTAGGCTAAACCCTCTAAGACTCTAGAGGCTGTACCATCTTAGGCTCTTGGATGCTATACCCATCATAGACTCTGGAGAGGCTATACCATCTTAGACTCTAGGAGACTGTACCCATCACTAATCAAAGGCTCTGGAGGCTATACCTTCTTTGACTCTGAAGGCTATCCATTGTAGACTCTTGGAGACTGTACCCGTCGTAGACTCTGGAAGGTGCACCATCGTTCCTTGAAGGCTGTTCCCAAAACTCATCAAAGGCTCTGGAGACTATACCATCTTTGACTCTGGATGTTATACCCACTGTAGACTCTGGAGGCTGTACCATCCTAGACTCTTGGAGGCTGTACCCGTTGTAGACTCGTGGAGGCTATACCATCCCAGACTCTTGTAGGCTGTACAACCTTAGACTCTTGGAGAATCTACCTATCTTGTACTCTGACTTTCATAGAAACCATAGACTATTGTGACTGTACTATCTTTGACTCTAGAGGATGACTCCATATTATACTCTGAAGTTACACCATATTAGTCTCTGGAGGCTGAATTAACATACTCTGGTGGCTGTACCATCTTAGACTCTGGAGGCTGTACTATCTTAGACTATGGAGGCTGTAACTATTGTAGACTCTGGAGACTGTACCATCTTAGACTCTTGAAGGCTATACCATCTCAGATCCTTGTAGGCTATACTATTGTAGACTCTTGGAGGCTTTACCCATCTTAGACTGTGATTTTCATAGAAATCATAGAATACGGTGGCTGTACCATCTTTGACTCTAAAGGCTAAATCCATATTATACTCTGAAGCTACACTATATTATTCTCTGGAGGCTGAATTCATATTATACTCTGGACTTTGTACCATATTAGACTCTGTAGGCTACATCAATTTTTGATTATAGAGGCTTTGTCATCTTAGACTCTTGAAAACTGATTCCAAGTTTTATCTGGAGGCTGTACCATCTAAGGGTCTGGAGGCTTACCATCTTCGACTCGTGGAGGCTGTACCCATCCTAGGCTCTGTATGCTATTGCAATCATAGATTCTGAAGATTGTATCACCTTTGACTCTGGATGCTGAATACATATTACTCTAGAGGCTGTACCATCTGGAGACTGCACTCGTCTTATACTCTTGAGGTTGTACCATCTATATACTCTGGAGACTGAACCAACTTAGGCTCTTGTATCTGAACTATTTGATGGTCTCAGGCTCTACCATATTAGGCTATTGGATGATATGTTCTTGGTATTGAAGCACACCATAAACCCTGGGGGTTGAATCATATTGCATGTGATCCACTTTTTAAAAGATCAAAATGAGCACACTTCTAAACCTAACCAAACATAATTTTGGTAAGGGACTTTCATAGACAAACTTTAATTGCAAAAACATGGATTGAAGAGGATGCTAAAATAACTATTAATACGGTTGAATTTCTCAAAAATGTCACATGGTTAATTTTGATAGATTTTTTCTCTCGCTATATAGAAATAGCTAAATTGCACGGGTCAACTTTTCATGATGTCATAACACACATGAAATCAATATTTTCACGGCATGGAATTCTTGAGAAAGTCAGATCTGATAATGCACCATGCTATTTTTCAGCTCAATACTTAAGTACTCAGAATTTGCAAAAGAGTATGAATTTGAAATAGTTACCAACAGCCCACTGTACATGTACATGTATAGCCAAAGTAATGGTGAGGTTGAAAGCGGGGCAACAACAATAAAAAAAATCATGAAGAAATCTAGTGATCCATATCAAACCCTTCTTGCCTACCGATCAACTCCACTAAACAATGGCTATAGTTCAGTAGAATTGTTATTTGGTTACGTACCGAAGTGCCTGTTTCACATTCACAGTTAGTGCCTCAATGGTCTTATGTTAAAGAGTTAAATAATATAAACAAATAAACCAGGGTGTTTGGAGTCGTAGAAATGTATTGCATCATAAAAAATATACCATTACATAATATTACATAACATTACATTACATTATACAACATTACATAACATTATATAACCCTACATAATTAAAACCTGAAAACAACACCTTCCACTATGCACCAAAAGTACATAACACAAACTAAACTAAAACCTAAGTTAACTATCAAATTAAAACAAGAAAAACGGTAAATAAAAATAACCCTCAAATGCAACTAAGACCCAAGTGGAGGGAGGGTGGGAGAAAAAGCTAGCGCATATTACTGCCTAATGCTACATGTAAGCTGCTAAGAGACTGACTGACTGCTAGACTGGAGTGACCATGTGACCTGATGAATAACTAACATAGCCATCAGTACATTAGCATGAGTAAATAAACAAGCCCAGATGTCCACATTATTTAAATGAAGATACTGACATATCTCAGAATTAAATAATATAAACAAATAAACCAGGGTGTTTGGAGTCGTAGAAATGTATTGCATCATAAAAAATATACCATTACATAATATTACATAACATTACATTACATTATACAACATTACATAACATTATATAACCCTACATAATTAAAACCTGAAAACAACACCTTCCAAGAAACTCCAAACACACTAGAGAATTAAACAAGTAGACCTAAGCTGGAAGATTTTTTGAAAATTGTGACATAATACGCCTAGAACAGTCTAAAGAAGGCGTTAGGTAATGTTTATAACAGTCGCTTTTCCAGTCCCCTAATATACGGACCATTTCACTGGGAATGTTGGACTCAAGTGCCCAGCTGGCACCCCCCCCCCCCCTCCGGAAGGAATGGCACGCATAACCAAGGCTAGAAATATTAGCCTGACAAAACACCTTTTTGAGGTGTGAAGTAAACTCAACATGAGTTACTGGTAGTGGGCCCCCCGAAGAGGGGACTGTGAAGGCTGGGCCATTTCCTGGGGCTGAGGGGGTGCAACTAAAGGCAGAGATAACTGCCGCAACAGGGCAGAGCGGATGGTCATTTTTCAACATTGGAAGAAATAAAGTCAGACACCTGTCCTTATGTTGAATGGTCTTAGAGTGACGAATATGTATTGCTAACCCACCCTCCACACAGACAAAATCTGAACGAAGGAGATGCTTCTGCACATCAAATTTTACCAAGGAAGGAATTAATACATTAGACCTTCTGAGTAGTGAGAAAAACATAGTCAGACAGATAGCCCAAAAGACTTTATCTGGTGCAATAGACAAATCTAGTTGTGACTTTATACGTAATAAGATAGCTGGAGTGATAGGCAATTTTCTATTCAAACTATCACCAATGTCCTTCCTAAGTCCCCGTAAAATTGAAGATAATATCCAATTGTCTTACAAAGGGTTAGGTAATCCACACTCTAAATGTAATAAGCGGACAATGTTGAGATATTGTTTAACTGATGAGAACTTTAACAGTTTTCCAATATATGCAATATAACGACTCAGCACTAAAGTCGTAGCTGGAACTGGTAAATACCCCATGGAGGAGCAAAACTTAAAGTACATGTTCCTATGGGATATATATGTTGCCTTCGTTGAATCTGCGAATGTCATACTGCGTAGTCGTAAGACCTCTGCATCCAATTGTTGCTCAGTAGCCACTTGTGTATCTGTGGTAACAGAAAAATAAATGAAGCCAATGACATATGATTGCAAGGGATAAAAGTAAACATTGAAGGATTCGAGTTGAGAACCTCAGAAATACATGATTGAAATCTGAGAAGCTGACCAGGCTCATTTAGCCTGCTTATAGCATCAGGTATGTGGTTTAATTTTCCCTCAATATGAACTGCCTTGACCTCAAAATTATAATCCACTGAAATCCAAAACAACTCTCTTAAAGCCTCCATCATAATAGGCTGTCTAGAAGAACCTTTATTGATTATGGCCATGGCTACTGTGCTATCCGTGTAAATTATGATTGGACCATGAGGGACCCCACTTTCTCGCAGCGATCAGGATCGACAACACTTCCTTATAGTTTATGTGAAGATGTTTATATTTTTCCAGGTCGTGCTCCCAGGAGGCATATATCCAGTCACCCCTGAAGAAACACCCTGCAGCTTGGTTACTTGCATCAACAGACACGTCTGTGATTGGGCATGGATTAATAAAAAATGTATTTCCATTAAAGCGTTTCAGAAAATTAATCCACCAGGCGATATCTGCGTGGAACGATGTAGATAGTATGGCTTTATGCTTAGCATGGTTGAGGGGGAGTATGCAATCAAGAATCCTCCGAAGAAATGTCCTCGCCCCTCGCACCACTTGTGATGCCCATGACATCTTGCCTGCAAGGCTTTGCAGTTGACGTTTTGAAGCCCTCTTACGATTTTTGAAACATTTAACTAAATGAAGTAT